GTATTTTCACAGCTACCTGAAGCAAGACGGTAATATTTCAGAGACTTCAGGAAAGGATTGTGAAAGTGGAATTCTTAGCAAATCCAGAAAAGTGAAACAAGAGGGGTAGTTTGGAAAGGAGAAAAGGCTGAAATAGAGTCCCTGCCTTGCACTTTTCAAATCTCCAATGATTTGCTTTTGGGATTCCAAGTTCCTCGTCTGTAAAATGGGAGGGGAAGGGTAGGAAGGCTTCTGAGATTCCCCTATCTCCTGTGGTCAGAGGGCAGTTAAGCTCCAGATATCCCAAAGGACTAATTCTTCTCTGAAGGCCACTTAGGTTTAACCCTGTGCTTTGCAGATTTCAGGGGAAGCTTTAAAGGACATGCACAGCTCAACTTCTTCAGAACCTTGGCACGCACAAAAGAAGTGATCATTTCCAGGCAGGGCTAAGCAAGAAGCACATTCTCATGTCTACACAACCATGAGTTTTAAAGATCTACCAATGGGGGCTATAGCATGAGTGGCAGGCCCAGCTTGGGGCCAGAAAAGCTGTTATTTTCCTTTCAATTTCTCTGTTGACATTCTCACATCTTCTGCTATTTTCCTTTGCATGCAGCCTAAAGCTCAGCAGGATTTTAAAGAAAAGGAATAGTACTTGTGGGAAGAGGGAGGGAGCGGAGCTAGAGAAAAGCAAAGAGGCACATTTTATAGCTTTAATTTATTTCTGAGAAATAACAATCTTCTACTCTTCTTCCACTTTCGAAAGGAGAGGCTAGTTTGGGGATATGGACAGTATTCCACACTCAGCAGTTGGTAGACAGGAAAAATGACTCTAAAGTACTTGGGATTCCTGTAGCCTTTGGAAGTAGAGGGTTTTGTTCCTAAAGACATAAGAGTTTATGAACAGAAAATGTCTTCCAAGCATGTTACCAGGTTGCTATCTGCCTTAGGCCCCAAGGGTGAGAGCAGAAGCAGGTGGAGAAAAAAAGACAGGACAGATGAGTTTCGCCAGGAAAACATGGGTGAGATTGGAACATGTATAAAAAGTTTTCATTTAATTCACATTTTAAAAGACTTTCACATTGAGAGGTCAACATTTACATTTTCTCCTTTTTTTTTTTTTTTTTTTTTTTTTTTTGCGCGACCCTTGCCGGTGGCCCGGGAATGAACTGGCACTGCAGAGGCTGCGGGCAGCCTCGCAGCCCAGTGCTCAACCGCTGCACCACCAGGGGAGGCCCCATTTTCTCCTTTTTTAATATGATAAAATCACTTGCATTTCTTCTTGCCCAAATGGAAACAAAAAATGAGGTTCCGAGTAAATTATTTAGCTTATGGACCAGAAATGGTTAAATTATAGCTTGAACCTAAAAACATTACACTCATGAATATTAATTTTCACTCTGCCTTTTTTGGGAATCTCTCCTATCAATGACCTAAGGATTAAAAATAAGCTTTCTTGCTAGCAAAATGTTTTACTGAAACCCACAAAAACCTATTCTGCATACACAGAAATCAACAACAAATTAAGCAAATTTTGTATCATGTACTGTCCAAACCTCATTTACAGACCATTGTAAACCCAAGTAAATACCCTGGATGCCCCGGTTGCCATTACTAGATAATCTGGGCTAGGAAACACTAACCTACTAACATGGACCCAGTGTCTACAGCAGAGGAGTGCTGGGCATGGGCGTTGGTGCCGGAAATAGAAATCTGAGTTCTGGTTCTGTCATTCCTTGGCTGTGTGGCCTTGGGCCAGATGTTTAAACTCCCTGTGCCTTCACGAACTCACTCCTAAAAAGGATAGATTAATAGTATGTACTGCACAGTGTTACACGAGGCTTCAAAGGGATAACACATTGAGAGGGTTGAGCAGAAAGTTTCAGAATCAGAGGTCCTGAGACCACTCATCACTCCTTTACCCATTCAGCAGCAAGCTCCGCAGCACCTACTTGGTGCCAGGCACAGCCCGAGCCACTGGGATGAAGCAATGTCCAAGCCAGCAACAATCCTGGGTGGAATGTATATCTTAGCAGAAAACATCTCACAATTAAAGGCTTCACAATGAATAGCTCCTCTGCTACCCAGGCTGGGCCTCCACAGCGCAGAACTATCTGGTTCTAAATGCCAGCAGGGCAGAGGCTGACAACCCTGGTCTAAAGATGCTGTGTGAACTCAGTTAATCCTGAACACAGCTCCAGGAGATGCGAGAGGAACTGTGAGTATGACCACTATGTTATCGTTTTATAGTAGCCAATAGTAATCCTATTTTATAGAACACAATATGTATAGTATGTTACGTAGCATTACACAATATTTTAAAAGCTACATCAGCATTCTACATAGATATTTGAAATATATCTTCATAGTGTGTAGATGTGATTCAATTCAGATGATGGATTTTACAAATTTGACTGACAGTTCACTTTACATCTAATGGTAATTTTATGCCATCTGGATTTTAAGTTATAAATTTCTCCCTATTCTCACGTGCTTTAGATGGTGTCCTTTATGCCACCTCTGTGATGATTTGGATATTCCATCAAGGGTGTAGTGTGGTTTACTAGAAGAACCAGGAGTCCGGAGATCTAGGATCTAGGGGCAATGGCATCTTTAGGGATTCACCATCTCCAAAACAAGGGGCGATATTTTTTTGACCACGTGTGGACCTGCATGGGCACTGCAATGAGCCACTCTGTTCCCTAGGTATCGCCTCATGTAACCCACACTGCCGCCTAGACAGTAGATCACTGATGTTCAAAGGCAGCTGAAGACAGGGAAACAGGCGCGGAAAGGCAGTCGCCTGCCTGGGGCTGCAAGGTCAGGAAATGGCAGAACAAGGGAACCGGACAGTCTGGCTCCAGAGCCTGCCCTCTTACCAGCATCGCCTCTTAGCTGAGCTTGAGGCACGGAGGACAGGCTGGTACAGGCATGGCCTCAGGCAGCCCAGCTCATTCTCCTGGGTTCTAAGAGTCACTCTGCTTGGCAAGGAGTTGTGCTCACCTCAGAGTCCTGGCCAGCAAGCCAGTTAATTCATTCATCAAAAAGGTTGAAATCTCAAGTTTATTTCTTTTAGGTGTTACTTGATTTCTTTTAAATCAGTAATTCTGATATTACCTACACATGTATTAAATACAACACAAAATTCAGAGGCACAGAAGAATGTGCAGTGAAAATCAATTCTTTCTATCCTTATCTCTCAGCTACCTACAGGGATAGCCACCATTGATGATTTGTTATATAGCATTCCACAAATCTCTATATTCTTTTTTGAAAAAGATATATAGATTTTAATAAACATACTGTTTTGCAACCTGATTTTTTTTCACTAAACATTTTGGAGCTCAGTCCATACAGACTTCCCCTTATTTTTACCAATGTCTGAAGATCAATTAAATAATTGATCCTGAACAGATGAATATTTAATGTAATCCTGATATTTAACATTACAATGAATACCTTATATGTATATCATTTCATACATACATTGCAAGGATATACTTTAGATAAATCCTAAAAGTAGAACTGTTGACTCAAAGGATGTGTGCTTTTAGCATTTTACTGAAATAGCTCAATTACCCTCCACAGGGGTTGTATCAGTTTATACCAAAATGCATGAGATGACCACAAGCTTCACTTAATTTCTGTATTCATAAAATAATATGTAATAAAATGCTCTCTCTTTGTCATTTATAAGAAAAATCTCATCTTAAATTTGCAATTTTGTTACTATGACTAGATTGAGAATATTTTCTTGTGTTTCAAAGCAAACTGTATTTTGTTTATCTATGAATATTACCTATGAATATTGTTAATTTTCATTTTTCTAATGAGTTAGTTTCCTTTTCTTACAGAATTATAGTTCTTTGTCAATGTTAGAAATAAATACTTTGTGTAAGTTAAAAGTATTTCCTCCAGTTTTTAATTTATTTTTTGCCTCTGGAATAATACATGATGTATTTGATTTGAAAGTAGAAGCATTCTTCTCAATTCTTTTATTTCATAGTTTCTGGATTTATTTCATATTCAGAAAGGTCTTCATTATTTGGAGAGTATAAAAAAAATCCATGTTTTTCCTCCATTATTTCTATGGTTATATTTTCAAGGTTAAATCTTTGAAATTATCTTGGTATATGGTAAGAGTTTTGATTAACTTTCTTGTTTTGCAGATGGCTTCCTGGTTATAACAATAATTTCTGTTCTATCCCCTCCCCACTGATCTGAAATGCCAATTTTTATTATTTACAAAATTCTCATATGATTTGAATCTATTTCTTGATTTCTGTTAATCTGACAATCAATGCTAAATACACAGACAATTCAAATCACTGTAGCTGTATCAAATGCTTAATTTGATAGAGCAAAGTGCCATCATTACTTATCTTTTCCAGAATTTTCCTGGCTGTTCTTCAGAATCATGGAATCATCAACTGGTATTTTTGTTAGGATTTTGTTATACTGATCAATTAGCTTAGTGAAAACTGATACCTTTAAGATGTTGCATCTTCCCATTCATGGATGTTGTATACTTTTTGTTTGGTTCAAGTCTTTGCCTCCCCCACTCTTTTGGTAGCTTCTGTAACATTTAAAAGTTTTTTTTTTATATATAAGTTTTCCTTTATTATATTTATTCCTAGAGTTAGGGATTTATTCCTATCTGTTTAATGTTTAACATACCTAGGTCTTATTTCTAAATAGACATGGAAATAAAAACTGTTAGCTACAGTTTTATAGAAAAAGTCATTCATTTTTGTTTTAGTTTTGGTTATGTGCCCAGTTCTTGAAACCTTAGCAAACTTAGGGTTGAAAACTTCACTAGGAACATAGCCACATCACATACTTCATTTTAACTCCTGCAAAGAAATAATTTTCCCCTAAAATGTTTTAGCATGAAAACAAGACGCCTTAGATTTTTAGAAATCTTTGCTCCATGTTGACTTCATCTTAACTTTGGTAGCACAAACAGTCTAGTGGTGTTATATTAAATATTAATCCTTTTAAACTAAAAACACAGAACTTACCTCCTAAATTCATTCCAGCTTGAAGACATTTCTGAAGTCTGCAGGCAGGACAATTCTTCCGTCGAATTTTATCTATGATGCAATCATTTCTTCCAGCACATAAATAGTTGTGTTGCCCTGATTAAAATAATGAAAAGCAATTGTTAGACTATTACGCTAACACAAAGTACTAAAACATACAATCAGAACATGGAACTTTCTTCTGTGCTGCTGTGAAATCTTCACAAAAGTAAAAGGGAACCATAATTTGCAGATAAACTAGACATAGACCATCTCAACACAGCTGATACTTTTGATGACAGATGAGAAGATTGGTACTGTTTAATTTCAACAGGTTGTCACATAAGTAAAGTCACTCTCCCCCAATGTTGGAGCCTGATAGCTGCATCAGCCCAGATTCAGGAGACAGATGCAGATTTCATCCTGACATCACAACAGCAGCGACCTAAGCAATGGTGCTGCTGCAGCTGTTCCAGTGGACAAGCCTGTCCACCACTTACACATGTGACCTCCTGAGAACACATTCAGATCATACAACTGGAAATGCTTACTGCACTCTGCAGAACTAGCTGGAACTGAAAATATCCAGACATGGGCACAACATATGCTTATAATGTGGCATCTACTGGCAAGATACAGTGATCGCCTAGCTCTAGCATTCATTTATTTATTTAAAAAGCATATACTGAACATTCACTAGGCATAATGGCAGGCATTACCAGAAACATTGGGGCTAGGGCTGTGGATAAGACACACGTTCTTGTTCATGTTAACTTTCATTGGTTGGGGGGAGACAGACACCAGACAAAGCAATTAGGTAAAATGTGCAAATGTCAGTTAGTAATAAGTGCTAGGGAGCAAAATGAAAGGAAGGTGTGAACGATATGCTAAAGGTATGGGAGGATGCAGGAATTTTAGAAAAATCACAGAGAAGGTCTCACTGGAAGGTGATTTTTATTTTTATTATTTTTAATGATTTATTTACTTATGCATACAAGAGCTGGGGTACAGGCCAGAGATGCAGGAGTGGCAGGATTCACCAGAGACAGAGTGGGGAACAGAACAGGCAGATTGACCGAAGTACACTGCTGAGGAGAGCAGCGGGCGAGTCAGGAGAGGTCTGCTGCGCCATGTGGGTTGTTCCCTGGCCGGCCGGGGATTGAACTTGTGCTGCAGAATCTTCAGATTGCTTCACAGAGCGGTGCTTAACCCCCTGAGCCACCAGGGAGGCCCTGAAAGGTGATTTTTAAACAAAGGTTTGATGGAAATGAAGGTGCTGTGTGAACACTGCAGGGAGGAAATCTACTGAGCAGAGGAAAAGGCAAATGAGGTAGGGACAGAGTCGGGAGGATTCTTTATGTTTCAAGAAGATCCAAGTGTGAAAGAGCAGAAAGAACGACTAGAAAACAAGAGGAGATGAAGAAAACTGCTAACATGAGTTAGGTGAAGCGGGACCTGTGGCTCAGGTCCAAGACTTTCACTTTTACTCAGAGGATGGGAAGCTGCTACCCTAGAGGGCTGGGAGCAGAGACAAGTCTCGAGATGACTGACATTTGACGTTACATTTGATTTACATTTACACTCCGGCTGCTGTGTTTAAAAATGGCTGCAAAGGACCAAGGACAGAGGCAGGCAGAGTGGGGGCTGGAGGTGGTCACTGATCAGGTGGGAGATGCCGGTGGGTGGCCGGGGTGGCAGCAGGGAGAGCCACGCGGAGCAGGACTGCTCGGGATGCCATGAGAGAGAAGCAAGGATTTGCCGATGGACGGGAGAGAGTCAGGAGTGAAAGAGGCATTAAGATTCACTGGCTGAGGAAAGTGGAATCACCATGAATTAAAATGAGGGGAGAGAGAAGTGTGTGATTGATGGGGAACTGCCCCGGCTCAGCCGCGCACACGTTAGGCTGGAGATGCCTGGGAGGGCTCGACGTGGCCGTGTGAAGTCAGCAGTCAGACACACAGGCTATGGTGAGGAGAGAGGCTGGACACGTCGTCCATAAGGCGGAGCATGGTCACGGTGAGAAGGAGCAGAGACTGGAAAGAGAAGTCAGGACTGAGCCTCAGGACAGGGTGACGTGCAGACAGAGGGTGGGGTCACACTGAGGTCTGCAGAGCCGGGAACAGGCCCTAAAGTACCCCCTCTGTCTTGTGCCATCACATTCCCTTGGCCGAGAATGACTAAGTAAATTACAGTAAAAATGCAATAAAAATAATATGCATCACTTAATGTAATTAAAATAATTTAATCTAAGCCCATTCTCAACAACATTATGGTAAATCTTAGTAATAATGATAGCAGTAAAACAACATTAATAGCAGAGGGGAATCCACCAAAATGAAGAAGTAAAACCTACAATCAGAATAATCTAATGATTTTTCAAGAAATTAAGGGTGCTCAGTGATACAGGCACACAAGGCTGCTGGTGCCACAGCGAAGACTGGATTGACGAATGCAACACTGTCTGACTCTGCACAGCACGGTAAGGTCTAGAAGGCATTACCCCTTTTAGAATAGAATTTTAAGGTCCTGTTAGAGTGCTAACTTTGCTTTTCAATGTCCGATTTCAAAGTTCTGATTTTTTTAAAGATTATTTATTTATTTATTTTGCATAGAACTGGGGTGTAGGCCAGAGGTGCAGGGAGTAAGAGGATTCACCAAAGACAGAGTGGGGAGCAGAACAGGCAGATGTACTGAAATACACTGCTGAGGGGAGCAGCGGGCGGGGCAGCAGAGGTCTGCTGTGCCATATGGGTCACCTCCCTGATGTGGGTTAGCTCTCTGGCTGGGATTGAACTCAGGCAATTGTGGTGTTAGCACTGAGTCTTAACCCCTAGGCCACCAGGGAGGCCCTATTTCATTTTTAAAATTGATTTATTAAGGTTGCACTGGCTTATAACATTGCATATGATTCAGATGCAGGTTAGTGCACCACACCCACACCCAAGGCACCCTGGTCTTCCAGCACAGTCTACAGAGCACTAGCTTATTTAAGCCTGACAGTAAGTATCCCCAGGACACAGGCAAGATCAGCATTGCTATTGTTCACAAGAAGAGGCTCCTGCCAGAACAGGCAAGGGATTGTCCCTACAGGCAGGAGGGAAACCAGTCAGAAGAGCCACATTATTACCGCACCTTAGGGCCAGAGACTTTTCTAAATATTCATTTGCAAATATAATTTAAAGTTGATCCAACAGGATATTGAGAGGGCTCCTCAAAGAAAATAAGCAAAGGAACATTTGTTGAACCAGGCACTTTCTACACTAGCACCAGTATTTCCACTGGCAACCAGCTTTATATGACTTTTGCATGGCATGAAATTCAGTAGAAAACCCTATTATTTCACTAATAATTTTACATGGTTGAGTACAATTTAAAGCCCAAAGAGAGAGCTAAGTGCAATTTTAATTGGTTTCCATTCAACAAATATTAATTTAAACCTACTATGTGTGCAAGGTCACAAAACACTCAAGCTTGGGATAATTCTTTCCACTTCTGTGAATCTACAAAAAAAGAAAACCGAGTGTCTTAGATTGTAGGCATACAAGAATGCAGAAGAATCGGTCACTATCCTACATACATACTAGACTTTTTCTTCTTAGGGAGTTTTAAGAACAGAGACTTCAAAAGCTGGGATTATTCTATATAGTTTTTTTTGTTTGTTTTTGACATGGACACGTTTAAAAAATTCGTCACTTTAACAGTTACAGAACAGTTTCCTTGTAGGTGCAACATCTGAACAGGGCACCTGGTTTCTTACAAGCAATGTGGTTGCAGCCACCAGTTCATCTTCCACAAACAGGATGGGAACAATCGGAAGTGATGGCTGCAGGAATGGTAGGACAGTTTGCAGACGACTCCGTCATTTACATATTGAGTTGTGGTAGCAGCAATGATTCAAGTATACCTACATGCATATGTAATGTGTTCTATTCCTGCATCTATATTAACAAAAATCCAAATTAAAAAAACCCATAATGAAAACAAGCAAATGCACCTAGAAGACTTTAAAACAACTTAGGATTGTGCCCTTTTAAAACACTGTGCTCTCCTAGTGTTAAGATAGTTAATCTGAAATAAGTGACATGCTGGATTTGAGGGGAAAGGACTTTCCACTGTGATGCTTCCACAGGGAAGACAACAGGAACACAGAGGACTGGGGAGTAGAGGTTTTGAATGACAAGCTAAGGAACTCATTTTATTCAGCAGTTGATAAATCATCAGTGCAGATTCCCGCTTACAGAATGTCAAAGTCAAAGATGTGTTTTAGAACCTTGATCTGGACTTTATATACCAGGTAGGCAAAATAGAAGTAGGTGATATGATTAATACTCTGCTTCAAAGCTCTCAGATATGATCATTAATGCAAGTTGGTAGCTATATACTAGAATTTATAATCACAGAAATAATCTTGTGGTTAAAAAAGAAAAATCTCAGTGGTAAAGGAAATAAAGACTTATTTCTCATTCAAGTTACATGACCAATATGAGAAGCATTCAGTTTCTGTAGTAGCAGAATAGCCTGAATCAGATAAATCTACAGATAACCGTTAGGAATTATCTACAAAAGGAAGAAAAAAAGATTTGATGGCAGCGAGGAGCAACCAAAAGCAGAAACAAAATTATTGAAAAGAGAAAATCACCATAGATTCACATTTCAATGTTTTTTCTCCCCTTGGACCTTGTATTCAGTGTAGGGTGGAGAGAAACCAAGCAAAAGCCTCAGCTTTAGAATCTGACAAGGCAGAGAGCAGGCTTTTGGACTTAAAACAGTGTATAGAAAGAGGGTATTTTGGAAAGAAGTATGCTATGGGGTGTGGAGGGAGATGAAAAGTATGTATTAACTTCCCTCAAATTTTTAGCTGACCCCTGAATTGAGCATGAACCTCCAAAGTCTGGGGGTGAAGCAACAAATGAAGATTGCGAGAGCTGAACAGATATTTCAGCTGCTGCCATTAAGAGGGGGTTGGAATCCCACTAAATTAGAATAAATGCACCTCCAGCTTTCAAAGGAAGTTCTACCTGGTTCCTGCCCTCTGAAGAAGCACCCTATCTCAGGATTAAGGCATTTATCCCAGGGGTGAAGGCATAGCCAGAGCAACCTATCCCAAACTAGTATCA